CCATTTCCTTTATCTTACTGGTGTTCAAGCGAAGGTGGTTACGCTCACACCAGTCAACAAAGTCCATGATGACTGACCTGTGCTCCTGGTCATTCCCCTCAGACACACAGCCGATCATGGCCGAGTCACCAGAGAACTTCTAGAGGTGATAGCTGATGGTGTTTTAGGTGAAGTATGAGGTGTAGAAGGTGAAGAGAAAGGGTGAGAGCACCGTAACCTGTGGAGCTCCATTAATGCAACACAACCACCTCAGATGTACAGTTGTGCAGTCTCACGTACTGTGGCCTGTTGGTGAGGTAGTTGGTGGGCAGCGCAGTCAGATGTTCATCCAATCCCGCACCCCTCATCTTCTGCTGCAGTGGACTCGGCTGGATGGTGTTGAAAGCACTTGAGAAGTCGAAGAACATGATTCTCACAGTGCTTTGTGGCATCTCGAGGAGAGTGAGAGACCGGTGCTGCTGGTAGATAAGCACGTCCTCCACCCCCATGATTGGTTTATATGCAAATTGCAGTTAGTCCATTTCTGGGGTTACCACTGAACGTAGATGGGTGAGGATGAGTCTCTCCATAGTCTTCATCAGATGGGAGTTCAAGGAAACAGGTCTGTATTTGTCTGGTTCCTGGGATGTGATGTTTTGGGAACTGGAACCACACAGGAGGTCTTCCATGGGATGGGGACCTGCTCCAGCTGAAGGCTCAGGTTGAACATGTGAATGACAACTTCACAAAGCTGGTCAGCGCAGTCTTTGAGCAGTCAGGGGCTGATCCCGTCAGGACCTGCTGCTTTTCTGCTCTTAAGCCTCCTCAGTTCTCTCCTCACCTCACCTGGTCCGATGTAGGGGGGGTGTGCTGAGGGTGGTTAGTGGAGGGGGGAGAGGCTGATGTCTGGTGTGAAATTTGGAGGTGGGAGGTGGTTGGTTGGCTGAGTGGAGGTGGTTGGGGGGGTGGAGTCAAATCTGTTAAAAAGCAGGTCAACTCATTAAACCCAGTTCTGGTCCTCTTCAGCAGACTCAATGGCACCACTCCTCCCACTGTGACCTGTGATGTTTCTGAGGCCTCTCCATGCACCACAAGCATTGTTCTGCCCTAGCTGTTTCTCCAGCTTCTTCATGTAGATGTCTTCAGCGCGTCTGATCTCATATTTGAGCTCCTTCTGGACCTGTCTCTGCTCCTCTTTGTCTCCTTAAGTAGCTGCTTTTTTCTTATCATTCAGCAGGGACTTCAGCTCAGGGGTCAACCAGGGTTTATTATTTGAGAAACACCTCAGTCTTCGTGTTGGGACGGTGTTCTCTACGCAGAAACTAGCATTGTCAGTGAGTGCGTTTACATGCAGCCAGTAACCCTTTTAAAACCCGAATATTCACAATAACCCGGTTCCTCAGGTCCATGTAAACACCGCCAAAAACCCGGATATACTCATAACCGGGTTTTTAAAAACCCGGTTACTACACCTGGGGTAACCCTTTTCTAACCCGAATGTTTGGTCGTGTAAACGCATATCAGGATATCCCCATCAAAGCGTGTGTTCTGCGCATGCTCTGTTCGCAAGGAATCTTGGTCTTTTGAGTAGCGAGACGTCTTGTATGCGCCAGAACACCGGAAGTAAACAACAAGTTGGGAGCAACATGGCGAGTCGCGGCACAGCACCACACTTTTGGAGTGACGAAGAAACTAAAGCGCAAACAAACGCGGTCGCTATCTCTTCCGAACTGGGAAACATGTTGTTGTTTTCACGGATACCGGAACAAGAAGAACCGGAAATGACGCATATTGCGTCTGGACGTAGTCCATATGTCCTGACACTACCCCAACGTCCGCATTTAAATCGGGTTATGCAAGTTAGAGGTAACTCTTTCTATTTATGCTTGTAAACGGGTTATTCTGATCAACTCAGAAACCCGAATACCGACCTTAACCCGATCATAACCCGGATATTGGCTGCATGTAAAAACGTAGTCAGTGACACAGAGGGTCAGGCTGTCAAGGTCATCACCATGAGCGCTGTGGAGTGTCTCCCAGTCTGTGTGGAAACGGTCCCTCAGCCTTTCTGTTGCTTCCTCAGTCCACATTTTCACGTTTATTTTATTTTTTTCTGAGGAGGCTCCCTAATCACCCTGGGTGTGTATTCAGGCTTCAGGTAGACAAGATTGTGATCAGCAGAGGGAGGGGGGGGGTGGAAGTGTATGTGTTTTTAACATTAGCATACAGCAGGTAAATTGTCCTATTGTCTCTGGTGTGGCACCTCGGGGTAAAGGGGGGGGGGGTACACATGAAACACTATTACATGTGAAAACTCTCTCGGATTGTAATAGGGCTGGAGAGCCAGTAACTCAATGTCTTTTGTGCAGAGTTGTTGTTTAATGGTCACACGTGTCGGGTTGCACAATCTCTCATTAATAAACGCAGCCAGACCGCCATCTTTGCGCTTACCTCTCTACCGCTACTGTCGACCCGTGTGAGTTTAAACCCTTCTAGGGAAAGCTCAGTGTCAGCTATGAGCTCAGTCATCCATGTTTCGGTAAAAAACACCACGCTACACTGTCTGTAGTCCTGCTGGAGCCTGGTCAGCTATGTGAGCACATCAATCTTACTGAGCAGAGAACGGACATTTCCCATAATCACGGAGGGTAAAAATGGTTTATAACTCAGTTTTTTCTCCTGGAGCTTACGACCCGCTCTGCACCCTCTACGTCTCCTCCTTAACTCTGCAAGTGGTGCTCGCTGCAGAACCACAAAGGTGGAGCTGCACCAGAAGGTGGAGCTGCACCAGGGTCAGCCCCGCCCATTCCAGAGTCAGCCCCGTCCATTCCATCAGAGTCAGTACAATTCCTTCCAGTTGTCAGACTTGATAGCATTCTGGAACCAAAGAGGGTTTTATAGCTAAAAAATACAAGATTGAGGACGGAGGTGAGAAGTTAACTGAACAGTTTTTGTAAAGGTTCCATATAATTAAAAATCTAACTTTTGGAACTTTTTATCATGTTATATTGTCCTTTCCTCATAAGAAACACGCCAAAGCCATTTTTGGCCTCATTCATGCATTTTCCTCCCATCTCAGCTTCAATTTGGTCTCCTCCCCTGAAGTGGGTCTGGTCTTGGTTCTCAAATCTGGATATTCTGTGAATTTTCTGACAAATTATTTCTGAAATGACTTCTACTGAGACAACGCCAATAAACCATACATCCCATCTCCAAAGACACACTGGATAGGACAATTACATGTAACGCCACTTACTTCATATCAGATGTGGTGGGGTAGAGGCTATGGAGGCAGGTTAGCATGCAGTTTTGCGCAGGTTCGACTCCCAGTGGCAGAAATCTTAGGTAGATTACAACCCCTTTTCTTAATTTCTAGCTACACTTGCCAGTACTGTTTACAACAATTTACTGGTATACCGTTTACAATATAATGACTAATGTGTTTATTTATTTATTCGTTTATTTAGCCAGTGTGAGTCCATTTGTGAGCAGAGTTTCAACTAAAATGCTGTTTAGGAACGACCAAATTCAAAGAACTTTTAGAGACATAAATATTTAGCTGAAAATAAACATTACAACTAAAATATAAACAAATTCAATGTTTCAGCTGGCTAAATAGATTGATGCCGACCCCACCGAGAATCGAACCAGCATCAGCTGAGGGGGAAGCAAAATTTGCTTCAGATGATCTTACCACTGGACTACCAGAGAACATGTGATAATCACCTATGCTGTTGCACCACATTATTGTTAGAGCGGCTGTGGGCAGATATCTGCTAAAGGAAATCGTTTCATTTCAAGATGTATTCAGGCTTTGTCATGTAGCAAGTTATATTTATTTTGTTTAATTGGAGCATTAACATTTGTAAAGTAGTAACAGCCATAATTCATGTGGGTCAGGTTAGTTTGCGATGAAGTTGGAAAACAAAAACGGAAGTCAGTGGGCTAGGCTGAGTTTGCGTGAATGGGCGGGGCTGACCCTGGTGCAGCTCCACCTTATGGTGCAGCTCCGCCTTTGTGGTTCTGCAGCGAGCACCCTCTCTAACTCTGGGGGCAGAATCGGCTCTTCTGTGGAGAAGAGCGCCGGTGTCCGCAGCGCCAACAGCTGATCCCTGGTGTAAACAAAAGGTGCATGGATGGAGCCGGAGGAATTTCCCAGCGTGTTCCCAACAAATTCAGAAAACAGCAACAAAATAAACACAAACAACATAAGGGTACTCCTGTGGATCGTGCGGTTGAGGAAACACGTGCCCACAATAAGGGCATTTACAACACACAACACAAGACAGGCAAACAATAAAAAAGAAAGAAAAGAAGCAAGAGCTGCTGGAACTGGCTGCAGCTCGCGCTGCGCCGTTTTAATGTCAGAATATAGACAATATAGAATATCCTGTATAAATCGTTGGTTGTTATAATAAAACCATCCCGGTAAATATATCATATACTGTAGGAGACACACACAGCGATATTTGAGAAGTGAAACAAAGTTTATAGGAGTTACAGAAAGTGTGCAATATTTGTTTAACCAAAATTAAACAAAAACCTGAGTTGAGTTTAGTTGAACCATTAAAGCTCTCTACTACCAAGCCTCCCTGCGTTTAAACCGACCACCCAGGAAAATATCTGTAAAACTTCAATCTCTTCTTTTAAATGTTCTTTCTCAGCTCAAAACGAGAAGTGATGCATGCTAAATGTCATCTAACATGACGGTTTTGGCTGAGTTGGATCGTGTAGGTTACACCAAATCATCAAAGACACAGTCGGTGGTTTTTAACATCGACTCCAAAGATAGGAACTCAAGTGAAGCCCTGTTTTTACAAGGATGAGACAAAAACTTTGAATGGAAGGAAAACTTGAAATGAAGTGGTGTGAAAAATACAGGACGCATCATTTAGCCGTTTGTGGAAGATACCAGCAGTGAGAACATGACTGTGCACATCAACAGGTGTGAGTAAAGAACACCATTCACCAATAAGGTTCAGTCAGAAACTCTGAAAACTGGAGACAAGAAAATATCGTACCATGTCATTACGTCCAAAGAAGGTGTACACAGCATAAAGGTAGTAGTCGAAGAGTTGTGACACGCAGTGGATGACATCAAAGGCAATTGGCTTCAGAATGTTCATCATCTGCATGTACTTCCCTGTAGAGAGACCAAAGTTACTGTAAAAGCGTAGACTACGATGGAACGGAGAGGGTCTACACTTTAATGAGCTGTGCAGATTTATTACACTTAAGAATACTCCTTCCTGGTTATAAGCTTCTAGCAAAGGGGACGTCTGTTATAATTTGTAAGTGCATGGCAACGACAAAAATACATGCTTATATGTACATGTACATATATATATATATATATATATATATATATATATATATATATATATATGTATATATACATATATATATATATATATATATATATGTACATATACATATACATATATATACATATATATGTACATATACATATATATATATATATATACATATATATATATATATATATATGTATATGTATATATATATATTTATATATATATATATATATATATATACATACACACAGTATATATATACATATACATATATATGTGTGTGTGTGTGTGTGTGTGTGTGTGTGTGTGTATGTGTGTGTGTGTGTGTGTGTGTGTGTGTACACATATATATGTATATGTACATATATATGTATGTATATAAACTAGGGGTTGTATGAACTAGTCGACTAGTTGACTTCACTGTTCTGTTGAGACTTTTTATGCTTGTCATCGACTAGTCGCTGTCACGTGATAATGAGCGACGAGACGCAGTCCTCGGAAAAGACAGCAGGTGATGAGCCCCTGCGCATCGGGAGGCAACGCGCTGTGCCAGAGCGTCGGTACTGACACCCGCAGTAAAACGGACATTTAACCAAATTGTGCCCTTTACCCTCTTGCAATTTAACCTTCCCCTCACCCCCATCCTAACCTTAACCAGCTTGCGCATGCAAAGCTCTGATCGTTGACGCGCTCCAGACATCTGCGTCCTGAGCACGGCCACAGTAACATTATCAAATCAGGTTTCACCACCTCAAAAACTAATTTAACACGCGATCGTTCATGTCTGCTCATTTCCTTTTATGTTTTCTGTCTTTTCTTTGTGCCTGATGCTTTTCGCTGCTGTGGATCGGGGCACATCACCTGTTTTGTTCTCCGGTGACACACCTCACTGATGCAGCCGGCGAGCAGCGGCACTCCGCTGTTTTTGTGGTCGGTAGATCTTTTAGAACTGCAGTTCAAAGGTAACTCATAAGGTGAATGTATATGAACCCAGGTAGCAGTTTTTCTTTAGGATTGAGAGGAGATACAGGAAGATAATAAACAGACAGGACAGAAAAATAGTCAAATAAAAACAAGTTAGTTTTTGTACCTGGTGGTTGCAACAAACCAACACGATTGAAGGTAATCAGAAGTGAGGAACAGAAAATGAAATCATTATTTTAATGTTTAGAGCAGCAGGAACTCTGAGAGGCTGCAGGCGCACTGCGCTGGGGGAGGGGAGAGAGGGCTGAAGTGGAGCAGTATAGATGCAGAAACTACCGTTGTTAAAAGAGATGTTTAACTTTGAAAATGTGGGAGAAATTTTAATTGTCAAAAACTCCAGCGAACCACCCCCACCCTCCGGCGCCGCTTCAGGTGTATGACGTCATCAACGACTAGTCAAAGTCGACTCGATTTTCATTACTTGACTGTCGACTTTAAAAAGAATTAAGTCATGCAGCCTCTAATATATACATACATTCATATACATATATATGTGTAAAAATGCACACACACACACACACACACATTTATATACATATATATATACATATATATATATATATATATATATATATATATATATATATATATATATATATATATAAATTTTGGGGTGGCGGGGGTACAGCTGGCATCAGCTTACAAAAAAAATGTTTCTGATTAATAGTCAAATTTTTCTGACATTACAACAGTTAAACCACAGTAAGTTAATCATGGTAGAACTACATCCTTTAGGGGAGAACTAAAGCAGCAGCAAGATGCATTTGCATATAAATTGCAAGGATTTAATTTAGCAGAAAGTAATAAATGCTATAAATACAGAGGTACAGGGGTGTAACAAGGTTACCGCCAACTAAGAGCTGGTGAAGGAAAGAAAAAGAAATAAACTCAATCTTGCTGCCTTTGCCTCTGAGACGGTAACATTTCTCACACACATTCTTTTTTTGTACACTTTCTCTTAGATTCTTCACCAACTACCCTGGGTTCAATCTGATTCCATCACAGTCTGGTAGACACTTCATTAGTGGTGACTATGAGGGATTAAACATGGGCTTTTTCATCCTTCAACTTTCCCCAACTGACTCCAAGGTTGTTAAGAGCTCAACAATAACAAAAACAATCACTTATTGTAAGCACAAGACCACTTTATGAAATAAACACAGAACATAAACCTTTTCCATGAACATCAGAAACCCTGTTCTCCCCTGGCGTCATAGCTGAAAACAAATAAAACCAGACCTGGTCGGTGTGTGAACATCACATTACAAGGGCCACGTCATCCAGGAGCTCCTTTTGGCAGGTGGGGGTCTAAATGTCACCAAGTCATGTAAGAGGTGTGGTTTTTAAATGAGGGTCAAAGTTCAGGGTGAAGGCTAAACATCATCGCTGCAACTCAGACACGCAGACACGCAGCGGACGCACGCAGACACGCAGCGGGCCAATCACGAGCATTTCCAGCGTTCCATAAATGGAAGAGGGGGGTGTGCATTGTGTGCGCGCATGTGTGTGTGTGTGTGTGTGTGTGTGTGAGTGCACATGTGTGCGTATGTAAGTGTGCGTCCACGTGCATGCATGTACGTTTGCGTGTGCTCGTGTGTGTGTGTGTGTGTGTGTGTGTGTGTGTGTGTGTGTGTGCATGTGTGAGAATAGAACCTACCAACAAGCCGTATGACGTTGAGGGTGGTGTTGGTGAGAATCGGTGCGTTGGCCTTGCTCAGGTTGTAATCGGACTTCTTCTTGCCTCTCTGGCTCTCTTTAGACACACTGATGAAGGAAAGAGGAGACACTTACAAAAGGGAACTTGGTTAATGTTAATATCACTAATCTGCAAAGATCGACAGGGTTCAAAACCTCTGGTGTCTTTAATTGATCTATCAGAACCCATTACACATGGCAGCAGAAACAGACGGGCCTTGGTGGTGGCATCTCTGAACTGGTGGTCCTGGAGCACCAGAGTCCTGACACCAAGCTCACCGAGGCTAATTATCCAGCAGTTGTTACAGCCGCTGCAGCCGTCACATGAGCCTACCCACTTCTGGACGTGAACATGCAGCCCATTCAATAATTAAGCATTAGTCATCCCTGCTTAAAAAGAATAGGAAATTAGCATTTTAGTGACCATCTGTCAGGTGTGTCAGATTAAGACAAACAAGGAGCGATAGTAGCAGTTGGAGCGATAATATGGAGCCTGTCAGATCGGTGAGGTAATGAGGCACTGAGCTTAATCATCACATTTATGATAAATAACACACTGAACTTGTGTGATAGGAAATCATTACCAGAACTCTGAATCTGTGATGAGGCTTAACTAAATGATTTGTGTGCAGGTGAAACGTTTACCGTCGCCTCTAACACTTGCTTCATTCAGTTTTAAAGAGCATAAAGCATTAAAACCACCTTCGAAAATGTAGTTGCATAAAATCATGTTTGCTGGATGTAATCAGGTTTTAAATAACTCACACATGAAGAAAAAACGTTCCAAAGATAAGACGATAGAAATCAGCCATTTGGACAAAGAAGAGTACGAATAAGAGAAAGACATTTAAACTTTCTGTATTCTACTGTGTCGTTCAAATGAATACAGAATGTGTGGAAAAGCAGATTATTACCATGACTATTACTGAATAGTGACTAATTCTTCAAAAGCCAGAAGACTCTTAGGTGGCAGAATGAAGCTGAGGATGTTTTTTAAAGATGGTAAAAAAAATTAAATAAAAAGTTTTCAAAAAAATTCTACCTGCCACTGGTTCAGGTTGAGGTGAGCTACAATTATTGCTAAAGGCTAGGGATGCTCGATATTGGCTTATTTACTGATTTTGTCTAACTTTTTCTTTAGAAAGACAGTTAAATTAAAAGTTAATAAATAGTACAAAAAGGTTCAAATGTTTTGGGTTTTGAAAACAGATCAAAGTGAGACATCCCTCTTACAAAAAACCTTTGTTGTACCTTCTACAGAAAAGCAAAAGAGTGGGCAATCTCACCTGAGATGGGTCTTTCTTTTGCTATGTTCGGTTGTTTACGTTTAGCCAGAAAGGCGAGAACAAACGGTTCACGAACACGCTGAATGTGCTTTATACGGTTATGCCTTGGAGAACATCTTTCTTTGTAACTGCAGATTAGTTTAGAGAACGTTTGTGCGTGGGTTAAAGTTACTTAGTTGATAAAATGTAAGCACACATGCTAAGCTAGGCTAATTGCTAAACAGGACGTAAAATGTGTGCATTAGTTATTAATGTCTTTTGACTTTTTCTGTACATTGTAGTGAAGGTGATAAAATGTTTATTAAGGTAAGTAAGACTTGGGTAAACATCCCAGTTTTGTTTTACTTGTTTGCTAGCTGGCTAGTTACACCTAGCTACATACCGTTGGGACAGTAGGCCCCTTCCTGTTAGCAGAAAATAACATGCGCCCTCTGGTGGATAATGTGAAACTCTACGTTTCCTCATTACACAAGGCAAATTCCTATTATTTCACAAGTTGTAATAAATAAAATGAATTATCTCAAAAACTAAACCTCAGCTATGTCATATTATGATTTTTTGGGGAGAGAGGAGGTAAAGCAAAAGATGTATGGTATGTAAAGGTTTTCTGAAATTACATTTTAACACCAATATCGGCCGATAATATCAGTAGACCGATAATATTGAACATCCCTGCTGCAGCGTGATGAACTGTCCATTTCTGACCTAAAAGGCCCTGCTCTGTTTTGCTCTGCGCAAAGCAAAACCAGATGTTCTGACACAAACCTAATCTGCATGAGATATTGCTCAAGGTCTCATGCTCTGCTTCTAAACTGTTTCTTATTTTCCAGCTCAAGAGAAGATGAAAACAAACACTTTATTTTTAATAAATCAAAGAATCATTTCTCTATTTTTAATAAGCTAATCAAACAAAGTGTGAGTCCAATAATAAAATGTGAACCAATCTGTGAAATGACAATGTTATGATCAGTGGTATTTTAATAAGTAATATAACAAACTAGCTGCACTAGACATTCTCATCCACTGTAATGTTAGGAATCACATGACACATTTCCTTCTTCTGATCTAATCAGAACCTTCCAGATCTGATGCGAGGCGTGGTTTTGTTGTTGTTTGGTAAATCCCCTTTTGTGCCCTTTTTTGATTCGACCGTAAATCAAAACATCCAAATTATAAAACTATGCCCACGTCATCTTAACTTCAGTTCAAGCGTTCTAGAGAAGTTGTCGGAGTGGCCAATCCGTAACTTTCCTCTTCAGCTGAAAGAACCTAATGACAAGCTGGATTAAATCTGTCGCATGTTCCACCTGCTGCAATGGTTCCTTTCAGAATAAAAGCTGAACCATCACGACCCCTTTTTGGGTCTCGCTAGATGCCAATAAAACTGTTGTGACCTGGGAGTATCTCAAGACAGGACTGGTTGGCAGCCGAGGCTGGGCTACAGGCTTCGGCTCCAGAAAGGTCCAAGCTGGACCTCTACTCCTCCTGATCGAGACGGGGACTTCAGTTGGGGCACGTCTCAATGTGTGTTATAAATCTCCAAACCAAAGCTTAAGAGCGAAACATCATCTTCACTCCCATCAGAACAAATCGTTTCTCTGGATTTGCTGGTTCTGAACAACATTCCACACTACACCATCCATCTTGCCTCATTCACCCCTAGATCCATTCATCATACAGTGTTTAGTGTCTCAAGTTCAGCGTTTCCCTTACATAGGCGTAGCTGTGGTGGCCCGCCACGCCTGCACGATCCCGTTTTATCAGCGTTTTATAGATTTATTTTTATAGATTTTTTGTTTCATGAAGAAGCAGCGGGAACTACTCTGTTGTTGCTTGTGATCACAGCTAGCAGGAAGCAAGGAGGAGGAGGAGGCAGGGCAGGGCAGGGTGGTTACAGTTAGGGATGAGCCGCAGATAAAGCATTTTTGACCAATACGAGCATGAAACGAGTAAAACCCGTAAATATCTGTAATTGTGCTGACGAAAAATCCTCATTAGGTAACTGACTGCCTGCACGCTCTGTTATTGGCTAGTCATATGGAGCGCCCGCCCCTCCCTATACACAAAACTCTGCTCCGGCCCACGCACGCACACGCACACGCACGCACGCACGCACGCACACACACACACACACACACACACACACACACACACACACACAGTAACGGATCTCTCTGTGCTTGCTTCACTGTTGCTCACGTTTCTTCGGTACTCCCTAAGTTTTCTTCAGCTCGCCTCTTTTTCGGTTGAATATTTAAAGTTACTTTTTTCGTAACGTACGTGGTGCATTTGACAAGACAGAGCTGAAAACGGCTCGTGCGTGCGTCGGTCACTGCCTCCGCTCCGGTCGGGTTTTTTAAATTCCCCCCCCCCCCCCCCCCATGTCTGTCTCTCTCTCTCTCTCTCTCTCTCTCGCTCTCACACACACACACACACATACACACATCAACATTGTTTTTTTAACTGTGTGTGGGAAAAATGCCAACAACGTTAGGAAAAAATCAGTTTAATCAAATTAAAAAAATAAAGTTGTGTCTGGTTCTAGTATTTCATATTTCCTAGTTCCTACTGCATGAGTTCAGATGCATTAATTCATGCACTCAAATAATAATGTTCTGATTTTATTGAAAAACTCGTTCTGTAATAGTTCCTTTACTGTTGTGATCAAAAATATTAATCTCAGTTCTGAGGCTGCTCTGTAAATAGTTTTCAAATAAACAATACACATAGCAACTTCTCATCAATCCATATCAATTTCAGATTTAAAATAATGTATTCATGTAAACCACACCCACTAACTTCCAAATAATAAATAAGAGGTGCATTCATCTGTGTATATCCTTTGATCCCCATTAGTGATATTTTCAGCACCAGAACAGTGAAGCAAAGAAACAAATTCCTGAGTTTATGTTAGTAATTTTACTTATTAGGTGCATCTGACCTGTTCTATTTTTCTCTGAAATGAGGTCAAATCAGTGCTTCTATGGGTTGTCTCCTCTCTGCACTAGAAAAATATACTTTATTATAATGTTCACTGTAATGCATCTTGATGTTCTTAACAAACAAACTAAATCAAAGATATTGGTCAATAATGCCAAATATGTAAATTTGTGTTTCAGTCATTTTCATACTGGCTTAAAAATACGTCATTAAGTCTACTAAGCGAGGGTGTAGAAGGTTTTTAATAGGGCCAGCCCAGTAATGATCTTGGACCAAAATTAAGGGGGCAGAAAGTCAAATAAAGGGGGGCAAAAGGAGATGATTTTCCAGACACCAAGAAAAATTAAATGCCAAATCCCCCCTGCAAAGTGTGTCACTGCGAGTTTAAAACAAAAATTATTCTTGTGCAAATATTGGTGAATTCACCTTTAATACTAGTTATTAAAATGCAGCAGTTGCTGGATTGGTGCAGTTCAAAGTGGAGTGCATCAAATAAAACAATATTAACATAAAGGTGAGACGTGTCATAATCCCCCCCACCACCACCACCACCACCACCACAGCTGGAAAAATTCCTAAGGGAAACATTGAAGTTATTCTAGTTTTAATTTCTTTAGTAATAAATCTTCTTAACTTTAAAACTTGACTCTTTCTTTTGTCTCTGAGTTCATACGAAGTGGTTACATAATCCCTGCAATAAAAAGTTCCAATCTTCTGGTTTAAATTATCCAAAGATCAATAAGATTGATTTCATATTTCCTATGGAATCTCACATCTTATGGTTCATTAAATAATATGTAAATTTAATTGTTACACTACTAAAAGCTCTAAACCCAGAGTGATTTCACATCTTTTTAAATCCACACAGACAGATTGCATGTTACTACTGTGACGACTCCCATTTATCTGGATTTCCACCTGTATACTAATATTCTGAGTAATCACCCTGTGGGCTGTCAGCCTGAAGGGACAAACTCACCGGTTCTGAGGGGCATCGCCCGTCTGCTCGTCTATGTAGTCCTGCTTCAGTTCATCAGGGACATCACTGTCGCTGTCATAGTCCTGATACACACTTTTCTCCATCTCATCTGACTCGTACTTAAAATAAAAAAGATAAAGATCAGAGACAGAGATCAGCTGGACCCCTGAGAAAATGTCAGCACAAAGAACTTAGCCTTCGAATAACGGGCTACGGGTGGAGAGGGAAAGTTCATTCATATCTCAAAAAAGTTCACATATATCCTTCCTGAAATAAGTCAACCTTTTCTTTTCCTCTTAAAGCACATACGCAGAGAAAATGGTTTTATTTTAGAGGAATTAAAAGCTTAACTCGTTCACTGCCATTGACGACTAAAGTCGTTATTTTAGATCCAACCGCATATTTTTTACTGTTTGAGCATCGGAACGAGCCCCCGCGCTGAGAGAACAAACATCTCAGCCCTGAAGCCGATCTTCATCCGCATACGTCACAGATCACATGCTCAGGAAGCAACACATCCATGTGTTTGGAGATCGTTTTGGGACGTTCCTGTAAAAAAAGTGAGGCACGAACCGGAAAAGCGTCTGCCGATCACAATTCGACAACGGATTATGAAAGAACGGATAACGCTCGAAACACGCGGCTTCTTCCTGATGTAAGAGGTGAGTCTCCACTTTGTTTTGGTTGCTTTGGCATTGACATCATGCCAGCGCGCAACGTTCTGTGACTCTTAAAAAAACTATAAAAACGGTGAGAAACGCTGGCAGCGAAGGCCGTTAGTGATCAGGAAACGGCTGGCAGTGAATGAGTTAAGAGCACACCGAGGTGGAGGTTTTGTAACAGCTGCACCTGAAACTATTGGCTTGTCAGGAGACAAAAACATGTTCTTTAACAATTGAACCTTAAAGACTTTCTTCTTAATCCTTATTTTGTCAAAGAATCAGATGCGTCTACATCGTAACCATTAGACGATAACATCTGGATCACTAAATGCAGAAGATATTTTACATGGCGCCTCTCAAGATAAAAATCCTGAGCCACTTCACAAGAACTAAATTTAAAATGAATTATTAAAACAATATTTAATTAGATAAAAAAAATTCGTGGAAAAGAGAAAAAAAGGGTTAAAAATGTGAAGGGAAACTAAAATGGATGAAAAGGGTAACATGGGATCCAGAGAAAGGCAGAATTGGTAGAAACAGCAGCGTGAAGGGAAGGTAGTGAGGAAGAATCAGCAGAAGGTCACACCAAAGCCTGAACAGGTGAGTTTAAAGGAGACCACTGAGTCCACTGATCTCAGGCTCAGGGGGAGAGAGGTCCAGAGTCTGGGGGCCACAGCAGCAAATGATCTGTCACCTTTGGTCTTTAGCCTGGTGCTGCACAACCAGTAGGCTTTGATCACTGGACCTCAGGGACCTGCTGGGAGTGTAGGGACTGAGAAGATCACCAATGTATGATGGTGCTTGTCCATGTAAGGCCCTATAGACCAGAACCAGGGTCTTGAAATGAACCCTGAAGTTGACTGGCAGCCAGTGAAGCTGGAGGAGAAGCGGGGTGATGTGGGTGTGTTTGGAGGACTTGGTCAGAAGCCGAGCACAGGCGTTCTGAACCACCTGTAGACGGTTCAGGGAGGTTCTGCTCAGACATGTGAAAAGAGAGTTACAGTAGTCTAAGCGTGAGGAGATGAAGGTGTGGAGAACTGTCTCATGTTCAGAGCAGAACAGAATGGGACTCGGCTTAGCAATGTTCCTGAGATGGAAGAAGGAAGAGCGAACAAGAGAACTGACATGAGAATCCAGGGTGAGAGCTGGGTCAAAGGTCACGCCAAGATTCCTGACAGAAGGTTTGGTGTGAGAAGCAAGCTGACCAAGAGAGTCTCTGACTTTGGGAACCAGCTTGTCTGGGGCACAGATGAGGATCTCAGTCTTATCTTCATTCAGCTGTAGAAAGCTCCCAGCCATCCAGGTTTTGATAGAGTCTAAGCAGGTGTGTCACAGCTGCAGCTTAGACATCTCATGGGGCTTAAAGGAGATGTACAGTTGGATGTCATCTACATAAAGGTGGTAGGAGATTCATTTGAAGGAGCTCAGGATGTGCTGAAGAGGAAGCAGATAGAGGAGGAAGAGCAGAGGACCCAGCACAGAACCTTGTGGGACACCATGGGTAAGGAGGTGGTGGAGGGCCTAAACTTGGAGACGGCCACAGAAAAGGAGCGCTCAGAAAGATAAGAGGAGAACCACTCCAGAGCAGATCCTGATAGGCCTACCCAGTCTCTCAGCCTCTCCAGTAGCAGTTGATGGTCAACAGTGTCAAAGGCTGCAGTCAGGTCCAGCAGGACCAGAACAGAACAGTCCCCTGCATCACTGTGAGTCAGAAGGTCATTAGAGACCCTAAGAAGAGCTGTTTCAGTAGAATGAGTTCTACGAAAACCTGACTGGAAGCTATCATAGATGTTATGTTCATAAGGAGCAGCTGTGAGTTGTTTAGCCACAACCTTTTCCAAGATCTTGGAGAAGAACAATTTCCCTGATTTAACTCAACAAACCCTTTGATGAAGATATGTTGCTTTTTATAGAAGCAGATGAACATCAGATACAGAAGTACCCAATTGCTAGAACTAGCAGTGACGTTTACTCCATGACTGCCAAAACTGCGTACCCCATCCACGAACACAAATGTTCCTGATATGTATGGGTCCATTTGATCAGTACCATCCAAATGGACCAAAGAAGTGGACAGCTGCCATCTTAAAAAAAACAGCTCCAATCTTCTACATTTAACAAAACATTATTTGAAAAACCTGCACAATTGAAAATGTTGCATTCAGGTGTTTCGGCCAAAATATGGAATAGAAGCTTCTGCTGGACGAGACCTCTGCGCACCAGAGGTGATACCCTGTCTGTACAACATTTACGATGCGTGGATTACTTCTGAGGGTCAGCAACATGAAGCTAGTTTTTATTTTCATGAGTCGTGGTCCACCTCTCCACCTCAGGCTGTCACACTGACGTAGACCTAGAGGCGTTTGTTGTGTTTGTGCACGTTCTCTAAAACCCACACCTTTTAACTGCTGCTCATCTCCTCCTCATCATCATCAGCAAATGAAATGCCACAGCGTTCATCTGACAGTCTGGCACTTACCGAGCATTCAAGTTGCATGTAAAAAAGATGGATGCGTCTTTTTGGTCTCCCAGCAACAAGCATGATGTGTGTGTGTGTGTGTGTGTGTGTGTGTGTGTGTGTGTGTGCGTGCGTGTGTGCGTGCGTGCGTGCGTGTGTGTGCGTGCGTCCCTCTACCCTGCTATTCACCCTAACACAGCAGTGAGCACCCCCATAGCGGCTTAGGGACTTAGAGGGTTTAATGTTCCTCATTAGCGCTTTGCTGTTAGCCAAGAAACAAAGCAAACATAATTAACATCAACATAGCTAAAATAAAAAAAACTGTTCATATGCCAAAGCTTCAAATTTAAGTTCATAAAATCCCCAAAGATTCGTTTTGTGACCTTTTGACCGGCATCATTTTACTGTCCATGGGTTTCAACACCTACCCCATTAGATGCCAGCACATCCTCCGTCTCTTCCTCCTTGTGCTCAATGTGCATCTCAAAGGGGTTTCCGTCCTGCAGGAACTGCTGGAACAGGGACCGCTCCTCCTGGAGAGGGACAGATGAGGATGCAGACTGTCTGCTCGGGGAAATGGACGGAGAGTGACACTGGCCCATGAACTTGAACTCCTGGAATAAATAAATGAGACACATGGAAAAAAAGACCAACTATTATAGATCACTGCTTGTTTTCACCACATCAGTTAAGATAAAGCTGATTTTTTTCTTTAAAAATCAGAAAATAAGGACAACATTCATCTAGACGACCTAAGAAGTTCATTTCACTGTTTGGCAAGTTATTTAGCATAAGATCAAAAATGCCTGCTTGACTCTTTTTGAAGGTTTTTTGTTTATTTGTTGCAGGATATTTCAAAGCTAAATGAAAATGAGAAAATTTGAATATATTTTTAAATCATTTGTTTCGTTTCCTTCTCTTAGTCATTTCAGTTTTTACACAAAGTAAGTTGGATATAAAGGCAACCTAATTGATTTTTTTAATAGCATTGGGAAATCTGCATCTAAACACACGAGGCTGTGGACTTTTCAAGATTTGATGCTGTTCTCTTTCAACTGCTGCCAAAAAGTGTGAAACAGACCCCCGTGTACACGCCACAGGGGACAGCAGCGGTTTGATGCTTATCTGTGTTATATAATGTGCAGTCATAGAGCTGAACTCTGAGTTTCATATCTTTATGCAGATTTCATCACCCTTATGTGTGCTACGGGTGAGTTGTGAGGGGAGAAAAGCAGAAGGAAAGCGACCTCACCTCACGTTCTCCTGTCAGCGGTGTGTCTCATACTCACGTGGAGCTGGGCGATATTAAAGTTCGACTTGACTGGGCAAAGCTCCCACGTCTCATTTTCCAGAAACATCCTCAGCTCCTCCAGTCGTGCCCTTTACAGCATTTGCAAAGATAAGGAAAAAAGGGAGCAGGGTGAGAGAAAGTCAAATCAAGACTTTCCTATTACAAACCGAGGAGATGCTGGTTGCTGGTTGCTGGGTAAACACACAAAAGGATACTGATGCTCAGCTGGAGGACAGGTGTGTGTTGTTGGCAACACGTTTCCATGTGTTAAGGCTCATCACAACAGTCACGCTGCTGCCCGCCTGTCAGGTTAATATCAGGTCTTTTTTGTGAGAAATGTCAGTGTGGTGTTGACTTTACACTCTGCAGTTCCCTTTATTCTTACTTTTGTTTGAAATACAGAAGGCAGAAGAAAACCACCGCGAGGAGATAAAGTCAGACATGTGTCCAACTTCAACACATTCTGAAAAGGACTCTGATATGATGATGAATGTGACCGATGAGGCAGATTACCACTTTGTTTTGTGTAAAGTCACAGTGGGCGACACAAAGATAAACAACCACTGAAGCTGAAAGTCGGTCATCAGATTTACCAGTGAACCCAGCACACGTGTTCTGACCCCACCAAAAAACAAGCAAACCAGTTAAACACCAACCACCACACTGATGGGTTCAAGCTTTACATAGATAAGCACCTGTATCTACCCCATATACATACATATATATATATATATATATATATATATATATATATATATATATATATATATATATATATATATTTATATATATATACAAAATCCAGCACCTTGAGACTGCACACTGTACACATGGGAAAGCCACGGTCCAGGATGAAACATCCAAAATACAGAAGTACATCAAGGACAAGGCACCAACAGATGACATGCTCAGTGAATGTCTCAGACAATGGCGAACAGAAGAGGAGACACTAGAAATACTATCGTGAAAGGACAAACCCCTACATGGGACGTACCACCAACAGATAACTGAAGTGGCCAATATGAAGAAATCCCACCAATGGCAAGAAAGAGCTGGTCTGAAGGACAGCACCGAGGCACTCATCATGGCTGCACAAGAACAGGTCCGAAACATCAGAGCAACAGATGCCCAGATCTTCCACACCAGACAAGACCCAAGGTGTAGGCTATGCAAAGAGGCTCCTGAGACAATCCACCACATAACTGCAGGGCGGAAGATGCTGGCAGGGAAAGCAGACATGGAAGATCACAACCAAGTGGCTGGCATCGTGTACAGGAACATCTGTGCAAAGTATGGACTGGAAGCCCTGAGGTCAAGGTGGGTAACACCCCCTAAGGTGGTGGAGAACGAGAGAGCCAATCTCCTGTGGGACTTCCAAATCTAGACTAACAAAATGGTGATGGAGAGCCAACTGGACATTGTTGTGGTGGACAAACAACAGAGGACAGCCGTTGGGGTTGATGTTGTAATACCAAGTGATGCAACATTAGCAAAAAAGAACATGAGAAACTAGAGAAGAACTTGAGAAAAGCTGGAGACTGAAGACATCGGTGGTGCCCGTGGTCATCGGGGCAGTAGCTCCAAACTGGAGGAGTGGCTAAAGCAGATCCCAGGAAAAACATCAGACATCTCACTCTACAAAAGTGCAGATCTAGGAACAGCTAAGATACCCTCAAGCTCCCAGGGCTCCGGTAGAGGACCTGAGCTTAGAAGGATGTCCAGACAGACAGATATGTAGATGTTTAATTGCAGTAGCTTTTCTCACCTGTGATAGTTTTTAAAGTAGTTAACGCTCTGACGTTTGACCGACTCTTGAAGAACTTCTGATTTACTCCCACAGAATTCCTCACCAACCTGCATCAACCTGACAGAGGGGGAACGAGAAAGCCAGTCAAAAACAAGCTAAATTAGACCAAACCATTACTAAAATCCATCAAATACAATTCAGTAGAGATCCTTCCAACAGTGGATTCATTTTATGGTAAAAAATAACTTCCCACAATAAACATAAAAACCACTAACTCCTGAACAAATTGTGATTTCCTCTAAAATCTATACGAGCAAAAGGGATTGTTTTTAGGTATGTAAAATAGCTGTTCACATCATTTTATCATCAGATGCAGAAAATGGTTTTGCAGATCTGTAAAATGCCCCGGACTCCGACTGCTGAGTGGGTCTGACTGACAGACAGCAGAGCCGGCAGGGGCAGACAGATATGATGCTAAAGTACTTATCCTCATAAATGTAAGCCACAGGGCACTACACAGGTAGCAGTAGCAGATGTGTTAGAGAGCAGCGGAGCACTTTTTTTCTTCGTTTAGTTTATGTAGGCTGTAAAAGCTAACAGCACATCTCATAAAACATTTAAGTGAACATAAAGAGACAATTTTAAGTCATTCAAAAATTGCATTTTAAACATCTTTAATAAACAAGTTGGTTCTGAGAAACTATGCAGAAGCATGTTTGTGTAATTTCAGCGGGCTACAGTGACAGGAAGGTCGTGTGAGGAAGTTTTGGAGCTCAACTTGTTTAATACGAGACATGAAAAAGAAGACCAATTAGTGGAAACGAGAAGGAATCAGGCGCGCCGCTGATCCTGAGGCGTACCTGCTGATGACATCCAGAACCACGATGAAATCATCGTATTTGAAGTTGGACATGTCTGTTCCCAGGATGTACGACTTCACTTTCAGCTGGACATCCTGAGGAAAAGAGACGGAGAAGGTTGGTAATTTGTGGGAGGAGAAGAATACAAATGAACTGGGAAAGACATCAGAAGCAGCGAAGGAACAAACCTGCCAGATTCGGGTGAGTCCATGTTCCAGCTTCTTCTTCACGTAGCTCCGGTCCACCATCACCTCATCAGACGCTGCTGCCTCATCTACCAGTAAACAAAGAGGACACGATGAAGAGATAGAACAACATGGGGCAGTTTACGTTTCTGCAGTTTTAAAACCTGAATGTAACGGATCTGGATCAGAGTTTGGTTGTTTTGCAGCAGATAGGAAAAGAAAGATGAGCCTCTACTATCAGTTTCAGCTGAAGATCCATCAGTGAACCTTAATTAAACATCACTGAAATCAGAAGTCCTTTGCTGTCAGCGGATGACTCAGCTGAGAGCAGCTGTCAGTGTTGGATCCCAGTCAACATCCAATAAGAGTCTCATACTCTCATAAACCCCCCAAAAGAGATGAGAGGTTGACAGCCGCTGCAAGCCCAACAGGCCGGTGCCGGATGACCAGCAGATGTCAGAGCCCTGTTTGCTGTCAGGCACGACTCCTCCTCCATCATCAGGTTACGCTCATCTCTTTTGTGTCTGTGTTGTTTTCCTTCTCTCAGACAGACTACCGTGTGGAGCGGTGTCAGAGCGGCATCAATACATCCCTTCAGCTGAAAATTGATTCAATGAATATCAAGCTACTCCGCCTGGATGAAACGGATTTTAGCGGAAAGCCAGAAGTGGTGAGTCTCGGTCAAGCTGTCAACCCACAACGATGCTGTTATATAATACTCATAACAGCACAAACAAGATCAGTTTTGAAGCTCGTCTAAACTTCCCCAATTAGCTAAATAGAAACCTTCTCAATACCCATCGAACAATTTATAAATTAGTTTTATGTATTTTCTTATGCTTAAAGGTCAACTTCACTGAAACCCCTTTTCTCATTACTTCTGATGATAATCGGTCACTCTGAATTTAAAGCTTTTATAGCAAATCTACAGAATGTTGAGGTTCTGCCCTCATGAGAAATTGCTATGCAGTAATTTCTCCAAAAACTGTGTCGTCTGCGCTCTGAAAAGCAGAATATATTCCAGCGCCAGCAGTGACTTCATTTCCCAGGATTCCCTGCTCCCGGAAGCGGCGTCGAATACCGGAAACAAGTTCTGCACATGTGCGGGAACCACACGGAGTTTCTCCCGCCGGACAGCGGAGTCTATAAAGGAGAGGCGAAACGAAACTTATCTTGTCTTTTGTCCAGTTCAACTAGCGTTGAAAGACACACTCGTTGGCTACGGCTACGGACAGATTGTGCACGAGGCCTGGCGGCTGAAGCGTGCAACGCCGAGCCGCGGAAAAGCAGCGGAAAATCATCACATCTGCAGGGTGATTGCCAAGGGACGCCTTGAATTCGCTCAGAGAAGAGTTTTGCTCCTGCAAGTTTTCTTTTTTTCCCCTTCTGTCGATTTTTCTCTTCCCGTCCTCTAATATAATTCAGAAGAAGCGTTCCACCGCGTGATCTGCTTCAAAATAGGAAAACGGCTTTCTCTATTTCCCGTACCAAAAACGCCATCGGAACAACTGAAGTAAGATCTTTTCTTTCAGTTTAATGCCTAAGTTGTTAAGCTGTGGCCACAGCATTAACAAATATTTAGATATTTAATCTGTTTATGATTAATCTTTGTTTGTTTCTTGACCTTTGTGAAGCGGTTTTGAAGATTTTTTACGTTTTACTGTGCTTCAGAAGTTTAAGTGAAAGTTGCCCACGCACGCGCGCACGCACACACACACACACACACACACACACACACACACACACACACTTTGATTTTCAGTGTTTAGGAGGACACTAGACTAAAACACACACTTATTGGGTCAGATTGTTTTACAGGATCATTTCATTGTTTCATTGTTAATTGTTGTTGATAAAATAGGTTGATATTGATTGATTAACGCTTCAGAAGGCGCTGAAGTGAATATATTAGTTAATAAATGTATTGCCAATTCAGTTTTGTTTCAGATTGAGTTTGTTTGTGTGATATGATAAAAATTAACTGCAGCTCGTTAAGATTCATGGAACGTTTAGACAAGATAGATAAGAGGTTTGGATTCATTTTACCCTTGTTAAAAAGGGTGGTGCCCCGTGGATATTCTAATATCCTAATTATGTAATAAAATCGGTAAATATTTCCATATTTATGAATTTTGTTGAAGAATCCAAAAAGTAAGTAAAAGCTTACAAATTATTTATTCGTGCCCAATAATCATAACAAGAATAAGTTAAGTTATGAACGCAAACAAGGTCACGGAACAATCATCCTTCCCATCAGGTGTCAAGAAGGTTCTGATGGAACGGGAAACCCACATTGGAAACAGAGGAAACAACAGAGCGCTAAACACCAGCCGCCGTTTTCTACATCCAAACGTCTTTGGTTGTCCGTGACTTCAAAAGATGTTTTTCTTTGTGAGACTCTGGTAGTTTGTTCTACAGCTGATGTGGTAGCAGCTCGCTGGCTCTCCTTCTCTATTGACCAGAAAACCTCTCACACCAGTGGTGATCTGTTGCCAAATACACAAGTGGGCAATGAGTGGAGGACCCATGGAAGTGCAGCGGTCCGGCAAGACTGACAACCGGATGGTCCAATGGTTGCTTTCGTTCTGAACCGTGTTACTGCATTAAGACAAATGAAACACAATCACTTCAGTAATTTATTTTTCATCTCCACAATCTATTTATAGCTATACTATCTTAAATCTTGTTAAAAGGCATGAAAGCAATGTTTTAAGCTAATTTAGTTTCCAGATTTAACATTGCAAATTTTTCATGCAGGCTTAACAGTCACTGCCATTAACGACAAAAGTCGTCATTTTACATCCAACTGTTCGTATTGTTTTACTGTGCGGGGGTCGGAACGAGCCCCCACATTGTGAGAACAAACATCCCAGCTCTAAAGCCGATTTTCATCTGCGTACGTCACACGTCACATGATCAGGAAGCAGAAAATCCATGTGTTAGGAGATCGTTTTGGGCCGCTGCTGTAAAAAAGGTGAGGCGCAAACTGGAAAAGCGTCTGCCGATCACAATTCGACAACGGATTATGAAAGAACGGACAACGCTTGAAACCCGCTGATTCTTCCTGATGTAAGAGGTGAGTCTACTATTTGATTTGATAGTTTTGGCGTTGACATCATCCTAGCACGCAATGTTCTGTGACTCTTAAAAAAATAGTAAAAACGCTGAAAAACGCTAGCAGCGAAGGGCTTTTCTGATCAGGAAATGGCTGGCAGTGAATGAGTTTAAAAAGTCTCCTACACCTATTTTTTGCACTAGCCTCTGTTAGAAAATAAATAACGAGAAAGCTGTTGTTGGTTTAGGAAACAGCAGAAAACGTCTCTGCTATTAGAAGCCAACTGTTAGCATTAGCAGCTCCACCACATGGCCAAACTCCTCCAGGCTTGAGTTAATTGTGGAAATAGAACATCAACATTGCAGAGCAAACACAGTCAATGGTAGAGCTGCTGTTAGCCAATCAGAGGTGAGATGTCCTAATATAAATAAGACTAAAATTCCTGCTCAAATCTTCAGCTGAACTCTGATCTGGCCCAATTCTAGTTCCAGAAAGAGATGCACCAGAGCTGTTTCCCCCCAGAGTATGACTTACAAGGCATTCATTCCTGCTAGACCACAGCAAAATATGAGTGAAGTTGATCTTTAAATTACAGTATAACAGCAACAGAGCTGGAAAATGAATCACATTTGGACATCCAGTCTTCCATAGCAGCTTTGCTCTGCTTTAGTAGCAGCGCTCTGCCCTTGTTTTGTTTTTGTTTTTCATCACATTGTCTTCGTTAATTGAAGTGAAAAAGAAGTTTAACTAGATCTTGATGAAGGTTTACACAAATGGCAGACTGTTACAAAAATATAATTAGATTTTATACTAATTAATGTTAGCATTTTTCTGCTAGTCTCATGGTTCCAATCACTAAACACCAGGATTCTGTTATCTACTGACATGATTTTATGTCAGCAGTGTCCTTAAAATGGGAACTAAGAATCTTAATTCAGGTTCAGGTAATTCTCTAAAATATACAACTATGGAAAATTTGTTTACACCCACTTTAATTACCAAAGTTTTAAATGTTTTGACATCTTCCCTTCACACGTCTGCTTTTTTAAAAGGGCAACATTCCAAAAGAAGCTTTTCTTAAAGGTGAGTTTCAAACGCTGCTCATGAGACCCAAATCTCACAGATCATAATTTGAGTCATTTATAATAGTTGACAGAGCTGCTGGAAACAGCTATGAGATACACTAAAATATAAAAGGGCACAAGGCATGGTGGACACCTTGACATCTCGACACATGACGAGTTTCGGATTAATGAGCCCACCATTGGCTGTGGTAGTCTGGGGCTCACAAACAGGAGTGGTGGTGTTGAGAGTGTGTTTGGGGCAAAGTGAAACACACTGTGTGAAAAGCTGTGAAGAAAGTGAGACAGCAGAGACCACTAATGATAAATTGATCAGATGATTCAAACAAAACTGAGATGAATAACTCTAACTGCTGCAGTATTAAATATCCATATCCCAGCAGCTAACCCTCTTTAATATCATCTGTTTCTGAAAATTGGGAACGTTAATGTTTCTGCTACTAAAAGGGCCTTTTAACTGGCTGTTTGGCTCTAAAGCACCGTTCTTTTATTCAGTAAATGGACACGGTAATCCCACATCTCAGCCAGGCAGCAGATGCTCCATCCCATACCAGGTAATGGTTAGTGGAAATATGACCATTAATCACTTTCAATAACATTTGAAATGTAACTATAACAGCCTAATCTGACATGTTAGTAGTAACATGTGAACATTGTCTAATTATTAGATATTTGGCGGCAAGTCTTCAAGACATTAAGCAATTACAACTAAACACGGCTGCCATCTCTGAAGCACTGGCAGGGTTTGGGAGCTTTTTCTGGAAAATAAGACTTGTTGTAAAACTCAAATTATAGTTGGCATGATGCAGGAAGGGTTCCACTGGATGGGAAGGAGTGATGCAGGCCAAAGTCTTGCATAGCAGTTATTATCTGTGCATTGTTTACTCACTGAGTTTGACACTGTGGTGAAATATCCCTTTCAGCTTGTTGTGAGCACCCATAAAACATCTGC